ATTTAAATTATACTTATCTTTGCTGCATATTGACACGGGTTAATTTTTCTTGCAGGTAGTGGGCGATGATGATGAACAGCCTTCCGTGTGCAAACTGGCAATCGAGAGAGTGTACGTGTTATGTGGACCAAGGTGAAGAATGTGGGCTTTTTTGGTGGTCCACTAACACTATTGGGCTAGTGCTATTTGTGACATTTGTATTATTGTTTATTATTTTACTTAAGCTGCTTAAGTGTCTTTCACTTATTGGTAGCCAAGTGTGTCACTTGGATTGTGCTAGTTTAGGATCATTTTTGGCCCTTGGATGAGATCTACGGTTGTGTTTTATTCTTGTGAGATATTTGTCTTGGGCTTCGACTTTTCAGCTTAATTCGGGTTCTTTCCTTGAGACTTTTCTTCTCTTCTTTCTCTGTTGGGTTCGTCTCTTCATTCAGTTTCTACCGTCTCCTTAACCCGTTGTTGAAAGAATCTTATGTAACATTTAGGCTTGAAATAGTAGCTGAATGGTGTAGGTTTCTCGCAAGGGTTAGGTTGTATTTAGGGCTTGAATGTTGGCTGCTAATGGTAGATCTATTGATCGATTATCCAAGCCACATATTGAGTGATTCGAGCCGGTTATAAATCTCTCTCTAGAAGCCGATTTGCAAACGTGGAAGGGGCTGTTCCTAAGCCTACCATTTCCGGACGGAAAGGGAAGTAGTTTTCGGTTTACTGCTTTTGTTCTCTATGTTTTTCTATTGTGCTTTATGAATATGTTACTCTGTATTGTGAACTGGAGATTGTTACTGTAAATTCCTAACACAAACAATTTTTCATCTATATAAAAATATTACCAAACATTAGGATTTCTCATTAACTTGCCCATATGTCCACCTTCTCGTTTATAAGTTCTCTCCGAAATAAATCCCACATCTAAGCCACAAAAAGAAGAAAAAGAGAGAGAGAGGAGTCAACAGCTGTACCATCAAAATTAACAGTAAGATCTTGATACCTAGTCCTTCATCTACCTCAGGGGCTCTATATGCAGGTGTAGTGTGTCCTGATATTATCTTCCTCGATTCCCATTTCCTCAGGTTTCTCTAAGCGTTTATGATTGGTAGATGTACTACCAGAATCACACAACTTCTATAATCCATCAGATCCCAACAAAAGATTCTTTGCCTTCAAATCTCTGTATAACACA